CAGTTCAAGTCCTGGACCTGGTGGCTTAAACTCATGCTGAGCACGTGTGCGTGCATGCCCAAGATCCCGAGAGGAGAATGGAGGAGAAGGGATTGCAGCATGGCCATCCCTCCAGAGGGGTGATTTCTCGCTTTCTGTCCCTCTGTCTCTCTTTGTCTTTCTGGCGAGCGCACGTGCCCTACAGCAATAACCTCTCCAAAAAAGAAAAAAAAAGAAAGAAAATAATGTCAGGTATGTTTGTATATGAGAGCCCAAAATGCCAGGAGGAGAATGGAGAAGGGATTGCATTATGGACATCTCCCAAAAGGGATAATTTCTCACTTTCCTTCTTAATGTCTCTGTCTTTCTTCCACAAGCACATGTGCCCTATGACAAATACCTAAAAGAAAAAGAAAACAATTCCATTCACAATAGCATTGAAAGAATAAAATATTTAGGAATAAATTTAACAAAAGAAGTGCACATCTGAACACTGAAAACTACAAAACATTGCTGAAAAAATTAAAGACAACTTTAAAAAAATGAATAGATATACCATGGATTGGAAGACTTAATACTGTTAAGATGGTAATAGTATCCAAACTAATCTATGGATTCAACACAATCCCTACTGAAATCCAATTTATTTTTTGCAGAAACTGACAAGCTCATCTTCGAACTGATAAGGAAATGCAAGAGTCCTACTATGGCAAAAACGGTAAGAAGATTGAGCAAGCTGGGTATTTCACATTTCCTGATTTCAAAGTTTACTACAAAGATATAGGTATCAAGAAAATGTGATACCTGCCACACACACACACACACACACACAAATAAATTAAAAATTCATTCATTGCTGGCATAAATTGAGAGGCCAGGGAGAAAATGGGAAAGTGAACATGGGAGAATAGTCTTTCCTGAAATGGTATTAGGACAACTAGATATCTATGCACAAAATGTAGGCAGACCCCACCTTATCCCTCCCACCCTACACGCACACCAAATAAACCTAAAATGGATGACAAAACTAAATTTAAGAGTTAAAATGATAAAAGTCTTAGAAGAAAATGGGTAACTTTTTGTGGACATGGGTTGGGCATTAGCTTTTTTTATTTTTTTAGAGATATATTAATAACAAAAAATACACAAGCAACGAAAAGAATAAAATAGATAAACTGGACTTCATCAAAATGAAAAACTTTTGTACTTTGAAGGATACCATAAAGAAATAAAAATCCAACAAACAGAAGGGGGAAATAATTCCAAGTCAAATATCTCTTAAGGGACTTTTACCTAAAATATATTAAGGACTCTTATGACTAAACAAACTATTAAAAAATAGGCAAAAGATGTGTCAACAGGCATTTTTTTCAAAAGAGATATCTAATAAGCACCTGAAAACATGTTCATCATCAGTCATTTCGGAATACAGATCAAAATTACAGTGAGATACTGCTTCAAACCCTAGGATGTGGATGTCTTTTGTACAAAAGGCACCCAAGATGAAGTGCTGAACATGAAGAATTGGAATCTTTTACACATTATTGATGAGAATGTCAAATGGTGCAGCCACTTTGGAAAACACTTTAGTAGTTCCTCAAAAGTCAAATACAGAGTTCTGTATAATCCAGTAACTCCACTTCTTGGTATATACCTAAGAGCACTGAAAATGTGTCCACATGGAAATCTGCACATGAATGTTCATAGCAGCATCATTCGTAAACACCAAAAAGTAGAAACAATCTGTTCATCAAATGATAAATAAATAACCAAACATGGTGCATTCATTTAATGGGTTCAGATATAAAAAAAGGGATGAAGTGCTATACTATTCAATGAACCTTGAAAATACTATGCTAAGCAAAGAAGTCAAGAAACAAAAGGCCACATATTTTATAATTCTATTCACATAAAAAGTTCAGAATGGGAGAATCCATAGAGATTAGTAGATTAGTGATTGTGAGGAGTTTGGAGGGAGGGAGTAATGGGGAGTGATTGCTACTGAGTATGCAGTTTCTTTTGGGGTGATAAAAATCATCTAAAAATTAGTGTAATCTCTTTTTTGTTGGAGAGGTTTTTACTATAAGGCACATGCGCTCACCAGAAAGACAGAGAGAGACAGAAAGTGAGAAATCATCCCCCCCACCAGAGGGTTATGGCCACACCGCAATCCCTTCTCCTCCATTCTCCTCTTGGGATTTTAGGCATGCACGCACACGTGCCCGGTGTGAGTTTTAAGCCACTGGGTCTGGGATGCAAACTGCGGTCGACTACATGGGAATCCAGCGACATAGCCATTACACTAACTGCTGGTCCCAAAATTAGTGTAATTTTAAACTAATTGTAAATATATATTAAATATATACTAAAAACCACTGCATTGCACATTTCAAAAAGGACAGATTCTATGATGCAGTGTGAATTCAATCTCAGTAAAAGTTTTTTATTTTTGTTTTGTTTTTTAAAGTCCACTCCTAATGAGTCTATGAGATTTGAGGAAAAATTCCTTTGTGGAGTTAGTAAGCACACAAAACTCTTCAAGCAAATTTGCTTTCACAGATTCTTAGCTGCAAACCAAAGTGGTAAGAATGCCAATTATTAGAATGCTTTCAGTGGGGGCATGAGCTTCCTTTATAAAGGTGTTTTTGAAATAACATTCTATTTCCATTGTAAATTCACTTGAAAATAGGAAAAACTGCCTTTTATCTTCAATAACTTTATAACCTATTAAACTATGATGATCATATTTGTAAATGTGAGCCATAGATTGTAGTGATCATGTGGGTTGTTAGAGATAAAACTATATACTAAACTGTATTAGTCTGAGTTTTGACGGAGGTCAAACTTGTATGCATGAATGGGAAGCAATGCCATTGTGCCTTCATCCTCTCACCAAAGATAAAGCTTCTTCCTCTTGTACCCCACTTAAGATATTGCTCTTAGTCTCCTTGGGTGTAAAATGGACCAGTAATTTCTCAAAGGGGGTCCATGAGGAAGAAGAAACACACAGGCTTGTACACTGTAATTTGTAATGAGCAGCTATACAATGGTCTCCTGAAATAATTTAATATACTCTGGGAACAGCTGTCTCATACTAAAGCCTCTTAAAAGAGGAGAATAGGTGAGAACAAGTCCCTGCTATTTCACCAAACCTTGTTCTCTAGTCTTTCTAATACTCCTGGTGTTTTCAGAGAGCACTATTTTTGGAGCAGTATACTTTAGTGAGTGACCACATCATTCAAGTTACTTGTATGTGAAGTTTCCAAGCTTATTTCTGTGCTCTGATATTATTTCTACAGTTTAATTTTATTTAATTCTAAAAATTAAAACATTGGACATAAATTTTTGAGTATAGGGCATGATAGACTCTACTAAACAAAAGGTGCTGACCAAAAAAAAAAAAAAAAAAAGGGGAAAAACTGAGTAGAATCCTTCTCAAAAACTTGCTTTGGTTCTCTTTTTGGTAGCCCAATATGGACAGTCAAGGGAAACAGCATTGTTGAATAAATTTGTAAGGCTAGTTTATTAGTTACATACAGATTCATCAGCATAACCAAAAAAAGGAATTACAATTACATAGAACAAAAACATTTGTTTTAAAAATATCAAAAATTTTAAAAAAGCGAAAAGTTAGTAGCAGTAGCTCCAGAGTCAAGACAATCTACGTTCAAGTTGTACTTCCTCAACCAACTCAAGTTGTTGTCTTTGAGTAAACTGGCGTGAAAACCCCTACAAAAAAAAAGGGGCGACCAAAAAAAAAAAAAAAAAAAAGGGGAAAAACTGAGTAGAATCCTTCTCAAAAACTTGCTTTGGTTCTCTTTTTGGTAGCCCAATATGGACAGTCAAGGGAAACAGCATTGTTGAATAAATTTGTAAGGCTAGTTTATTAGTTACATACAGATTCATCAGCATAACCAAAAAAAGGAATTACAATTACATAGAACAAAAACATTTGTTTTAAAAATATCAAAAATTTTAAAAAAGCGAAAAGTTAGTAGCAGTAGCTCCAGAGTCAAGACAATCTACGTTCAAGTTGTACTTCCTCAACCAACTCAAGTTGTTGTCTTTGAGTAAACTGTTTCCTTGTCTAAAAAATGGGGATGATGATAATCCCTGTCTCTCAGGGTCCTTGTGAAGATTACATGAAATATTTCATGGAAAAGGTCTTGGTGACTGGCAGACGGTGAATGTGCAAGAAATAGTAGCTCCTCCTATTTTGTTGATATAATGATGTTGATATAAAAATGTATCTATTACCTGTGCTAGGTAACGATTAATCCAGTCTAAAATGCTTAGAACATAATTGAACCAAAGCTTTACTTTGTAACACATAAAGAATATGTAGGACATGACACATAAAGAAAATCTTCAACATTTAAAAAACTGGAGAATAACTGTCATTTGTTCTGCATAGCCTTATTTGTTCTCTAGTTCTAAGTGCAGCTTATGGGGGAATTGAAGGAAGAAAGTACTAACGCAGGAAGGAAAAATCAATCTGATGGACATGAATACAGTTACCAAACTAGCCTAGGGATTTATTACGACACCGCTTTACTGTTAACCTTCACTCATATCATCTATTATTTGGGGAACTGCTGCAGAGAGACCAGAAAGTGAATAGAATAATGATGTTTTTATGGCTCCTAATGTAGATTGTTATTGAAAATCTGTCAATTTTACTGGCAAGCTCTTGGCTCAAAAATAAGATCTTCATTTATAATTTGCAGGCAATGATAACTACAATTATGGGAAGTAACTAGGAGATAAAAAATAACTATTATGATGAAAACTATATAATTATCTTTCTCATTAAAAACATGAGGTATTCTGTTATCGTGTGCAATGTATTCCTTAACAACTGCTGTTACTAAATTAACACACATCTGAAGAGGAAAGAAAATACATTACTGATTACCCAAATGATGAAAAACAGATACTGCTGAACATGTGTGCAAAGTGGAAGAGAACAGAACACAGCGGGATGGACTGCTGTGTATGTAAACCTCAGCAAAACCACTTACAGACTCTCCAGGGATCGCTCTCGACTCCTCCCCTGAGGTTTCCATTAAGGAGGTTTTGTTTTGATGAGCTGGTAGGTCCTTGGCTTTGATGAGGGGATCTGGGGTTTTCTGAGAGGATCCACACGTTCTTCTTCCATGGGGAGAAACACATGGTGTAGGCAACAAACCAGTTTGGAAGTCATTTTGATCTATTTTCTTCACCAAGGCATTCTGGCTTTCTGATGCTCCTGCTTCTGGGGAGGCACTTTTTAGATGTCCTGTACTTGTCTGCCTGGTATCCTTCCCCGGTGAGCTCTCTAGAGTTAACTGAGTTAACCCTGAAGGACTAGTTGCTGGGTCTGGAGAATCCAGGAAACTGTAGTCACCCTATATTGGAGAACAAAGTAAAAATAATTTTGAGCAGAAACTTGTGTATAAGTTGTGTACAAGTTCTTACTAAGTTCATATATTCTATAAATAAGGCAAAAGTGCGCATGTGAGTGCGTGTGTATTTTTACTTTAATCTGCAAAGAAAACAAGAGTATCTAGAAATAGCAATGCACATAAGAATAAATCATTTGCTAAAACACACTGATAGATGCTATATGGTCTAGTTAGGAATATTTTTTATCCCTGTGTAATAAGAGAACATTTAAGAAATAGTCACTTATATTTATTTCAAAGAACATCTAAAAAGAAGTTACTTAAAACATCTATGACTCATACATTTTGATTTCCTTCCTGACACACTAACACCATGAGAGGAGAACTATCTAGAATGTTTGGTATGTTGCTTATTTAAGCAGAGAAATGGTACTCTAAATACAATGGGTCTAGCAAATTATTTTTGCCCTGTTGTAGAACAACTTTACTGTTCAAGACCAAGAGTTAATGAAAACACGTTTTATAAAGTATTTTTCTTTTCTTTTTTTTTTGGGTAGAGGTTTTTGCCTTAGGGTGCCTGCACTTGCCAGAGAGAGAGAGAGAACCAAAGTGAAAGGGAAAGTGAGAAATCATCCCTCCCCACCCCCAGGGGGATGGTCATACAGCATTCCTTTCTCCTCCATTGTCCTCCCTTGGATCTTGGGCACACATGCACACACACAAAATCATGCCTGGAGTGTTTTTGAAGCCACTGGAATTCAAACCACGGTTGGCCATGTGGGAGTCCAGCAATATAACTGCTATGCCATCTGCTGGTCCTCCTATATTTTTCTTAAATGAAACAATTTCAGTTATAAAAAGCTGATGTTGGCACAAAATATGAACCTTATTAAACATTATTGCTTAGAAAGCTAAAACTGAAAGCTAGAAGACTTTTACAAATATACAGTTCCTTGATCATCCATAGGAAAGCAAAAGTTATATATATTTTAAATCTGAGAAAGGAAGAATTACACACTTAAAAGCTAACATCCTTGAAAATAAAAAATGGAAATGAGAAATTTGCATTATTTCAGTTAGTAGATTTTATGCTGTGAAAGAATATACTTAAAGAAGTAATTATCTGGGGACCAGCAGTTAGCGTAGTGGCTAAGTCGCTGGACTTCCACGTAGTTGGCCGCAGTTCGAGTCCTGGATCCGGTGGCTTAAACTCACGCCGGGCGCATGTGCGTGTGCGCCCAAGATCTCAAGAGGAGAATGGAGGAGAAGGGATTGCGGTGTGGTCATCCCCCCTGGGGAAGTGATTTCTCGCTTTCTATCTCTCTGTCTCTGTCTGTCTGGCGAGTGCACGTGCCCTATAGCAAAACCCTCTCCAAAAAAAAAAAAAAAGAAGTAATTATCTGATCATTATGTGTACCTGTCGTAGTATATAATAGTAAACAGGTGTTAAATGATAAATATAGAGCAAAGAATATAGAGCAAAGAAAGTATGATAAAAACAGAATACATCTCAAATACATTATTTGGTGTCTGATAATGGATAGCTTAATGTTCAGGTTCAGTAAGCTATTCTACTACCTTTCAATTTATAGCCACATAGAATCAAATATCCAGTTACTTTCAAGGTTTGGCACTTTGAGAGTTGTTTTTTTTTTTTCTTCTTCTCTTTTTTTTTGCTATAGGGCGCGTACGCTCGCCAGAAAGACAGAGAGACAGAAAGCGAGAAATCACCCCCAGGGGGGATGGCCATGCCGCAATCCCTTCTCCTCCATTCTCCTCTTGGGATCTTGGGCACGCACACACATGTGCCCGGCGTGAGTTTAAGCTGCCAGGTCCGGGACGCGAACCACGGTCGACTACATAGGAGTCCAGCAACATAGCCATTACACTAACTGCTAGTCCCTCAAGGTTTGGCATTTTGAAACAAAATATTTGGGGGGCTGAATGGATTGTTTAACTTCTTGCATGCGTGGTCATCATGCACACTCAATATAAAGATCACGGTCTAATGTTAAATTTGTTTTTCAGAAAACGTGAAGTTCGCAGCTTTACACCAGGCCCAGGACAGGGGAGATTTATCAAAGCTTGTAAATAGAAGGAATCTCTCTACCATTGTTCTGCCTCTTTCTTCCTCATAATGGGCCAAGTATTTCTCTAGGTCATGCAAATGCTGAAAATTCAATGGCAGACCAGAAAAGAATTCCCATCATCCTGGAACTTCACCTCAAAGGCAGTTGAGAGACACTGTGTGATTTGAAGAAAGGGAATGCCACAATGTCACAAAATAGAAGGCAGGCCCTGCATCTGTGGTTATGGTTTGTAGAGTGTCTGGGGTAGTTGGTGGAGGCAGCAGAAAGGGAAGCCAATCAGGAGACCATTACACCATCAGTAGAAACGCTAAGGGGCTTGCACTTAGTGATAGTGATGATGGAGAAACAAGACTGATGCGAGTTCAGATCTGTATGTCGAAGGCAGAATACACCATACTTAGCAAACTCCAGCAATTTCTCAACATGGAGTCAAGCCTTAACCTGTCATGTTATGACTTTTCCTTCTTGTGGGAAGTAGCTGGAATAAGCTGACGACTGCACTCAAGAAAGGTACACATGGGTCTTACAAACTCTAACAAACAGCTTGCCTATCTGTGATAAAGAATCCCTGGAGACTGAAGTAAGGCTTTTTCTTAGCATTTCTTCTTGGTACTCACCCTGGACCTAAATTTTGTCTGTGTCAGCTTGGGCTTCTGATATATTTTCTTTTCTTAAAAAAAATAAAATAAAATGATGGAGAGGCTGGCAGTGGTTAAGTGCTGGACTCCCACGTGGCTGATCACGTTTTGAGTCTCCGACCTGGTGGCTTGCTTTCTCACTTTCCCTTTCTCTCTCTGGTCAAAGTAGTAGTAATAACAACAACAACAACAAACAAACAAAAAAGACAACAACAATAACAACAACAAACAAAATAAATAATTCTTAAAAAAAGTGATGTAGAAACTTGTCTTTCAGAGTCTCAGATAGGGTAAAGAAAAAATGGTGATTAGGTGCCAACCTGTGGGTCTTCAATTATGTGGCCCAAGTGATAAAATAAAGAGGAGGAGAATGTTTCTCCCCTGTACCAGTCCCTGTGTGACCTCAGTTGCAGACAGAGGTAACCTCTTTGCTGTGGGGTGCTTACTGAGTAAGTTCATCCTTCCCCACCGCTCTGAGGGTGCATGTGCTTGCCAGAGAGAGAGAGAGAGAGAGAGAGAGCGAGCGAAAGTGAGTGAGAAAGTGAGAAACCACCCGCCAGGGGGATGGTCATGCAGCATTCCCTTCTCCTCTAATGTCCTCCTGGGATCTTGGGCACAAGCACACACACTCACACACCAAAAAAAAAAAACCAAGCCGGGCATGATTTTGAAGCCACTGGGACTTGAATCATGGTTGGCTATGTGGGAGTCCAGCAACATAACTGCTATGCCATCTGCTGGTCCCCCTATAAAGTATTTTCCTTAAATAAAACAATTTATTTAAGGGTGGCTCTGGCAACCTTGAGGATGTTCATGTGGTTGAAGAATGCTGCCTTCAGGAAGGAAATTAGAAAACTGTCAGATACCAGAAAAATGCCCAGTGTTCTAAATGATTAGGGAATGGAGTGGTAACTCATGTAATTTTTTTTTCCAAGAGATTAAAAAAAGAATCAAAGTTGGGGCCAATATATGATATAGTAGTTAAGGCTTTGGACTGGTTCAAGTCCTGGACCCAGAGCCTTGAAACTCATGTTGGGTGTGTGTGCTTATGTGCCCAAAATCCCAAGCAGAGAATGAAGAAGCAATTGCAGTGTGGCCATCCCTCTAGGGGATGATTTCTCACTTTCTCTCTGGTTAGTGCATGTGCCCTACGGCAAAAATATCTCTTTAAAAAAAAAAAAGAATCAAAGTTTAACTTTGTCTAAATAAGGTAAACAGAAAATGTAGCAAGTATCTCCCAAGCCTTAGTTCTATGAAGATAAAGTTTATCTAGAAAAGAAATCATTACTCTCTCTCTCTCTCTCTCTCTCTCCACACACACACACACACACACACACACACACACACACACACACACACACACACATATAATTAAGAACTGAAAAGTAATAAAGAAGTGGTTGGCCAGACTGACGTTGGTTACTCCTTACTGACTACATGACTGACTTTCACAAGACATTCTGTCTCGAGATCATTCAAGGAAGCAGTCTCCCTTGGAATGATCATACAGCCTGTTGAACTGACTACCACCATTGCCAACAAGCTGCTGCAGACAGCTTCTGCTAATGGACCTTCCTCCAATCCTGTCCTTCTCCCACGTCCATTAGACCGTCCTCTGTTATCTGTTATCTTTGTCCAGTGTAAACTCTTTCAGAACAATTTATGTGTATTGTGCTCCCTCTCTTTGGTATAAAAGACCTTAGATTTTTCAGAGATGGTGGGCATGTGGCCATTTCATCTGGCCATGCTACTGGCGGTGTTGGCTATATACCCTAGGGTCTGATCCTTATTTGATGCTAGTTTTGTGAGACCAATAAATTCCCTTTTCCCTTGTAACTCTTGCCTTAAAAAAAATTTTTTTTTTTGGCTCAACAATTCTAAGATGGTATTGGTGAAATTAGCTTAGATTTTTAAAATTTGGTCATGCTATTAGACTGTGCTCTTTCTTCTTCAATTTTTCAAAAAATTCCACTTTAGTTTCTTGTAATTGTTATGTATATAATGAGCAGTGAGATTTCTCTGATCAAATGGCCCTTTACTCACTCATTTTCATATGTTCATAATAAAAAATAAAGACAAATCTATGTACTTTGTATATAACACACATAGAAATGAGGAGATTTTATAATACACACAAATTCAATAAATATTTGTTAAGCTTCTGCTATGCATAAGGTCCCCTGTACTACTATGGGGATTTAAAGAACTGCATGGAAAATGTTTACTACCATTTAGAAAACACCCTAAAAGAGAATCTATTTTTAAGAAGTCTCTT